TTAAGTGGGAGAACTTGCACAATTGGTGGCTGACTAAATACTTTTTTGCCCCACTATAGTAATCTTGCTGCAGTTGTCATATATAAAAACAAAGTTCCATGATTTTTTTCTAGCTGTCTGTCCATTAATCCCAAAAGAAAATATCTGGTTTCAATTACACATTAGTCTTTAAAATCTTCTGAATTACTGTATTTATTTGTATCTAATTTTTTTTGGCTTTTCTACATGTCCACCATATATGATAAAATGTCCCTTCATGTTGTCCACATTTCCAGCAAAGATCAAAGTACCTTTATACATTCTAGACAATTTCTCTGGTGACAAATACCAACAATACATCATTTTATAAAAATTCTGTTTATGTCTAATCCTGACATAATGATTTTTGAAATCTACATTAACCTTAGCTTTGTCAAACCACTGATGATATCCATGCCACCCAAATCTCAGATCATGTCCTTCTAACTCCAATAGCCTTCCATTTCTTAACAATACCCATCTTTCATCTAAGCTAAACAACAGGCCACAAAATAGATTTCAAATCTGGTAGACCCAATCCTCCTCTTTCCTTTGCATCTTGTAGTACCTTATATTTAACTCAGGGTTCCCAACCCCCCGCCATACAAATTTATATATATCCTTCTGACTTATAATTATTATTCAATAATGATACTGGTCTGTAGTTTCTTGCTGAAGTCAAATCTTGCCCCTCTTTAGGTATTAATTTTATATTAGCGTTTTTCTGGCATCATTCCTCCTTGTAAAATAGAATTCATCGTGCTTTGTAGAGGTTGTAAGAATTCATCCTCAAAACACTTATAATACAAACTCGATAACCCATCTTGTCGAGACACCTTTCCTAATTTTAGTAGCTTCTGAAAATTTTCTTATTGTTATAGGTCCATTCATAATTTGTCTTTGTTCTTCTGTAATCCTTGGTAAAATTGGTTTTCTGAGACATTCCTCTATTTTCTCCACTGAAATATCATGTCCTCTATATAAATTAGAATAATATTGATAAAAAAAATTTGTATAGCCACATTAACCATTAAAATGACATCTCCCTCTTGTAATTTCAATATCATTTTCTTTTCTCTTTCTCTTCAAAGTATATAAGTCTTTCCCTGTTTTATTTGCAAATTCAAATTTTCTTTGTTTCACATAATTCAATTTTGTTTCCATTTCTCGTATTGTTAACATGGATAATTGTTGCTGTAAGATCTTAATTTGTTGAGAAGTATTTATATTCCCTGGGGAGTTCTTTAATTCTTCTTTTATTTTTATCTCATCCAAAATATTTTGTATTCTCTCTTGCCTCTTCCTCTTAAGTTCAGAATTATGTTATATCAGGTAACCTCTAATAAAACCTTTCCTCGCATCTCAGACCATTCTCAAATCAGTACCTCTACTTAAATTATTTTCAGAAAATTCTTTTAATTTCTTTTTGCAATCCTCAACAATTTCATTCTTCTGTAACGCTTCATTTAGTCTCCATCTGAAAGAACTAGATCTTCTTTTATAAACCAAACTTACAGGATTATGATCTGAAAAAGTTTTTAGTAAAATCTCTACTTCGGAAATTTTAGTAGCCAAGTCTCTTAAAATCCGAATCATGTCTATTCTTGAAAAGGATCTGTGTCTTTCTAAAAAATAGGTGTACTCTCTTGAACTGCCATTCTTCTTTCTCCGTACAGCAACCAATCCTAAATTGTCCATCAAATCAAAGAAGGCTTTTGGCAGTTTACCTTGAGTAATTTAAATATTTTTCTCAGAAGTTCTATCCAGTTGGGGGAAGACAGCTATCCTTGGTTTCAATTCAGCTATCCAAGTATTAGTCAAGACTTTCTATTTTAACCACAGGATTGCAGTCTGGTAAGATCTGTACAAACCTCTTTCAGCAACAATTCTTGCAGTATTGCAAGATAAACCCACAGTCCCCACTTAGTGGTGAATCACTTTCAATAAGTTTTCTCGAACACAAATTTTTCAAATTAAAAAAAAAACATTTCTTTAGTTATGAAACAAATGCTTTTAAATACGTTTTTAATTAACTAAACACAGTATCACTGAACTACAGCCTGATTCAATGAAAAACAAATTCCTGTTTGTTTTTTCCAACCTGACTGATTTTCTGGTCACTCTGAGAAACATGACACCTTCCCAGTTGGTGGTCTTCATTTATATTAGTTGCCTTAAGGCCAATTTTCAGCATAAAACACAGTATCCTATTTCTTCCTCTCTTATTTCTTGCTGTTTCTTTAACTTATTTTCTAAGTTGCATTTTGTATAGAATAAATTATATGGGTTATTTGTAGCTTTGAAATCTGCATACTAGTGAACAGGTAAGCATGGATTCATTTTACGTATTATTGGTATTCCAAAAAAGATCCATTTAACTAAAGAACATACAGTATAAATTGAATTTCCCACATTTTGTAACCTTGCATAAACCTAGTTATCTTGAAACAGTTTTTAAAAGTTCTGAATAACTTATCTCTGAGTTTGAATTATCTCAGAGTGTTTCTTGGCAGTTCATTCAATTTCATCATCTGCAATCTGAAGCCTTTGATCTTGAAAATATTGCTACTCATGAAATTCCATGTTTCTGATAGTTGTATTAGATGCTCCTAAATCAATAATTTATTTTTATCAGAAACTGAAATAAGATGAAATCAGAATAATAAGTTCAAATATCCTACCTATTCTTGTACATAAGTGGTAAGTTATAAAAATTGAAAAAAGCTTTTTTTGATTGTAAATGTGGCTCAAACAACAATGATCTATTCCATGTTTACTGTATATTTCAGAGAATCTTCAGTTAGGATGATTACAATCCTGTTTTGAAGGTATAATTCAGGTCTAGGAAATCTATCTACC